CAAAAGGAAGATGCCGGCTTAGTGTGTGTGGTCAGCAGAAAACTGAGGTCTCAAATGAGAAGGTGTGACACACTTTAGGGCCCCACTGACGTGTGTTGTCACCATAACAACTAACAACAATCACCATTTTATTTTGAACCAGTCAAATGACCACAGCACACTGCTCTACTCTCATTCTGTTTCTACTGTAGACAGTTTACACTGCAATTATCACCATGGTAATGATTAATCTAGTATTGAGTATTACTAAACTCTTATTTTTCTTGATGATAACACATTTACCAGTGAGTTGACTTTATGCCACATGGTTTCAGTAAAGACTAACTTGTGTTATGAGAATCTGATGGTCTGAGTTTGTTTTGTTTCCTTTTTTTATGCTCACACAAAGAAAACAAGAGAAAACAGTCCAAGGTTCAGATGCTTAATATCAGAATAAATGAGTCTCAGTGTGATGGGAACTAATGAATAATGATGAACCGGTGACATTAATGAAAAGTGCATTTGGCGCATTTTCAAGTGATTTTATAATCTGTAATTATAGTTTCAAGAGGCATTGTTATAATGCAGCTCTAAAGGGCATTAATACCAACTGCCGAGCACTCTCTCTGCCTGTTTTTGGCTTTCAGAGCTCATTGTCTGGTCCATCCTGCTGCAATTTCCTCCCCCATGCTCTGCATCTATTCTAATTGTCAACCACTTAACAAGAGGGAATGGTGCTACAAGTAATTGACCCACATTATAAGACAATTTTCCCTTCAAACTAAAAAAACAATCCGGTTTGTTTCTTCTTTCTCTGCCTCGGAAAAGCACATTAAAGCTCAAACACATTTTCAGAGTAAACAGTACACACGCAGAGGATGAGCTTAAAACTTAAAGGTATGAGTCACCCAATGAGGAGACACAACAGGGTGAGCTTCTGCTGACCAGCACTGCATGTCTGTATGGTCAGTGTTAAGCTGCTGCGGAACAACTAGGATTTCTGCTCCAGCTGCAGAGTTTCACTGAACTGTCTGCACATTATCAGCCATACAGTAACTTTGCCTCAATAAAACAGTGTAAACAGTAAATTTGTTTTATTAAAGACATTAATTAGATGAATTTCCCTATGGGGACAATAACGTATATCGTATCGCATCGTACCACATCATATCATATCATATCATATTGTAATTACCTGATAAGAATAAGAAAACAAGATCCTGAGAAGGCATTCAAAGCTGGATTTTGGTGCTTGACAGTTTCTGTTATTCTGCTGTGAACACATTTTTTCTGTATCACAAAGCTATTAAGATTTCACCTTTTGCTTCTGTTTATTTGTCAGGCAGAAACACATAGTTTTCATCAGCAGACACTGTGAAGAGGTCATACACATTGCCAGGTAAGTCATCATACTGTGGGCTGATACTGGCAGCCAACACTGCAGGAGCTCTGAGCAAGGGTAGGATGATGTATTTGTCAATATGGTGGTTTAATGGACTGCATACATCATCAGGACAGACTGGATGACCGCATCAACAGTGGCAACATTTCCTTTAAGTGGTGTATTTAGTCACTTGTACTGCATGAATGTGACCAGTGTAACAAAACTGAGGGTGTCAGAGACGATCCCATGTTGTTTTATTTCAAAATTAAGGTCATAATGCCATTTTAGTGTGTTTTTATGTGTTATGCATTTATGTTTAAGACAGTGTGAATGTTAAAGGAACAGTTTACCCCAAAATCATTAATACTTAATCTTCCTCTAACCTGTAGTGCTGTCAGTAAATCTAGATTGTTTTGGTGTCAGTTGTCGAGTGTTGGAGATATCGGCTGCCTTCTCTCCAATATAATGGAACAAGATGGCGCTTGGCTCGTGGTGCTCAAAGCACCAAAACCAGTACTTTAAAAGTTGAACTGCAATGTGTTTTTCCAGAAATCATGATCCAGTTACTACAGATAATCCACAGACCTTGTTGTGAGCATTTTCATGTAGGAACTATTTTCTCTCTACCGAACAACACCCACCGGCTGTATCACCGCGCAGAAGGAAGCGTGCATCTACTCATGAACAAGAGGCTCGTGCTTGTGACAGCACAAGAAGTGAATATTACTAGCGTTCTCCTCAGCTGAGCTGTAACGTCAGCTAACTCAGCGGTGCTAGCAATAGATGTACGATAGATGTAATAGATGTACGATGATACAGTTGGTGGATGTAGTTTAAGGCTGTGTATTGACAAGAATCTGGCAATGCAATATGTATCACGATACAGGGGTTGCGATTTATTGCGATATATTTCAATACTCTAAGTAAGGCAATTTATTGCAAGTTTTTAAAAGGAAATTTTGGGAAATACAGTATCACAAAACATTATATTTTGATATTTGCTTACGCCCTTAGTGTATTTCTGTAGACAGAAAATAGTTTCTACATTAAACTGCTCGCAAAAAGGTCTGTTGGTTATCTTGAGCAACCGGCTCTTGATTTCTGAGTTTTTCAAATGTATTTTTTGGCACTTTGAGCACCACAAGCCAGGGGTCATGTAGTTCCATTATATTCAACAGAGGGCAGACATCTCTATGGCCAAAATCTCTAACATTCGGCAACTCACACCAAGACAATCTAAATGAATAAGTAGCGCTACAGGTAAGAGGAAAAATATGTAGTCTTGATTTCTGGGATTGAACTGTCCCTTTAAGTCATCAGGACTCTAATCCACAACCCTTTACAAACAGGTCACATCACAAAAGAGACACTGAAAAAAAGTCCTGTTTTTATTGTTGTGAGGTCAGAACATGACAGTGTGCTGCTGTTTTGTTGACAACACTGAAATGAAAAGCTGAACAATAAATAAACGCTGTAAGCTTTTCAGTAAATACTGTAGTTAAGGTGTAATGTTGCCAGCATACAACTCAAAAAATACATAGACCCTTTTCCTTCCTAGTTCTCATAAAATACTGGAAATAACAGGGCTTCATTTCTGTAAACAAACATACAGTGGAAGATAAATAACAGGACTTACATAAGACTTACATAATAAATATGTTTAAATAGAAAATAAATACACTGCCTGGCCAAAAAAAAAGTCACCACCAAAAAAAAAGGTCATACACTCTAATATTTCGTTGGACCGCCTTTAGCTTTGATTACGGCACACATTCGCTGTGGCATTGTTTCGATAAGCTTCTGCAATGTCACAAGATTTATTTCCATCCAGTGTTGCATTAATTTTTCACCAAGATCTTGCATTGATGATGGTAGAGTCTGACCGCTGCGCAAAGCCTTCTCCAGCACATCCCAAAGATTCTCAATGGGGTTAAGGTCTGGACTCTGTGGTGGCCAATCCATGTGTGAAAATGATGTCTCATGCTCCCTGAACCAGTCTTTCACAATTTGAGCCCGATGAATCCTGGCATTGTCATCTTGGAATATGCCCGTGCCATCAGGGAAGAAAAAATCCATTGATGGAATAACCTGGTCATTCAGTATATTCAGGTAGTCAGCTGACCTCATTCTTTGAGCACATACTGTTGCTGAACCTAGACCTGACCAACTGCAGCAACCCCAGATCATAACACTGCCCCCACAGGCTTGTACAGTAGGCACTAGGCATGATGGGTGCATCACTTCATCTGCCTCTCTTCTTACCCTGATGCGCCCATCACTCTGGAACAGGGTAAATCTGGACTCATCAGACCACATGACCTTCTTCCATTGCTCCAGAGTCCAATCTTTATGCTCCCTAGCAAATTGAAGCCTTTTTTTCCGGTTAGCCTCACTGATTAGTGGTTTTCTTAAGGCTACACAGCTGTTCAGTCCCAATTCCTTGAGTTCCCTTCGCACTGTTCGTGTGGAAATGCTCTTACTTTCACTATTAAACATAGCCCTGAGTTCTACTGTTGTTTTTCTTAGATTTGATCTCACCAAACGTTTAAGTGATCGCCGATCACGATCATTGAGGGATTTTTTTTTCCGGCCACATTTCTTCCTCGAAGACGATGGGTCCCCACTATCCTTCCAGTTTTTAATAATGCGTTGGACAGTTCTTAACCCAATTTTAGTAGTTTCTGCAATCTCCTTAGATGTTTTCTCTGCTTGATGCATGCCAATGATTTGACCCTTCTCAAACAGACTAACATCTTTTCCACGACCACGGGATGTGTCTTTCGACATGGTTGTTTAGGAAATGAGAAGCAACTCATTGCACCAGTTGGGGTTAAATAACTTGTTGCCAGCTGAAAGATAATCGCCCATGCAGTAATTATCCAATAGGACGCTCGTACTTATTTGCTTAGTTAAATCCAGGTGGCGACTTTTTTTTTGGCCAGGCAGTGTACATCTCAGTAAGATTACATTGGCACAGGACATGTAATAAATGCCTCTCATGAAATATGATTCAAGGCTTTCTTCTGAGAAATCCAAACACTTAATTACGGAGCACTGACACTCAGATAAAACGGATGTGCGGCACGTGTTTCGCTGATGAATTTAAATGAGCAGAAAGCAAAGAGGCAGCAGAATGAACTCCTGCTCCGATGATTCAAATCTCACTTTAACACCTGGCTCCCTCACTTAACAGCCATTACTTTTGTCGTACTGTCAACTGTTGTTGTTTTTATAATGGTGTGTTTTATTATGGCACGATGTGATCTCAATAAAAGATCCACTTACATGAAATGTGTTTCATATTTCTCTCCCTCCCACAAAACATGACTGCTAGTGATGCTACATCAGATAAACAAACATCATCGTCCATTTAAGTCACCGCACAGACGATACAAATGTCCCCTGGGGCGCTCAAACACCCTGTTTTTCAGGGTGTTTGAGCGCCCCAGGGGAGCTGAGCCCAACACACACACCAAGTTAAACCCAATGAATCTAATGTTTGCAATACTGTTTTGACTTTTTGCTAAACTTCTCATGTGCAACCACAAATAACTTCACAGCAATATACTTCTGAGAAAGTCCCACATGTAACCACATCAACACAGTTAGCAAACAGGCAATACAAAATCACAAAAAGTTAGTTGGTTATATACAAAATGTAATTGAATACTACCATAATAATGTATTACTGTCCTAAAACTGCTACCTTATCTAAAGAACATGACGATTCCTTTGAGTCTTGCTTGTGTTAATGCAGCTGTGATATTGCAATATTGATATGCATTTATTTGTCCTTCATTTTACAAAAATTATTTCATTAGCATTTTTTCTGGACTGTCCCTAGATGCATTTTGTTCCTTTGGATCAAATGAGTGCAGAGTATATTCTCTAATGTTTGTATGTGAGGTTAAAAGACATCAAGCCATGAATCACAGAAAAGTATGTGGTTTCTCAAACAATACAAATAGACTGAGGTGGAAACTGCTACAATGACTTTATAACCACAATTGTATTTTCTTGTTCTCAACAAATCACAAAATGACCTTAAATGTAGAGGGGGTAGACAAAATAATGGAGACACCATCAATTCGCAACCTAGTAACAACGCTACAAAACTCGGTCTCGATGAGGATAGAGGATAGAACCAGCAGGTGATTGGCTTAGCTTCCTGCGAGGGGTAGGGGTGTCCCAATTCCTTTTTGCATGTATGGGTAGAGGACATAACAAGGGGTAGTGGGTATGAAACTAGCCCGTCAGAGTGAGGGATTTCAGATGCTGACTTGCCAGCGAAGGGTAGATGTCGCCATGGCTACCACTGATGAAGAGACGGGGAAAAAAGTTCATACACAGCCGTCGTCAGGTTACTTGTTAGCTAGCTAGCTAGCTAGCTCGCACTATCTGGTGTCTGTCATCTGTCCTGTTCTGCAGAATTGTCAGATTTTTCACATTACGATAACTTGCCAGCTAGTATAACCATGCTGCCTCATAATGTTAGCTGGTTAGCTAGCTATCTAGCTAGCAGAAGTCCCCTGTCGTCTGTCGTTCATCAAACGAAGCATGATGAATAATGCAGACGCAATTGGTAGGATTAAGTCAACTGGAGACTCCATTGTAGATGCCGGTTGGAAATGTAGATGGCTCGCAGCTTCCTGTTTAAAATAGTTACGTATGTGTGAACGTAACCAACGCAGTGACGTAGTGAGTGCTGTCCCAATTCCTAGGGAAAGATTTCCCCTGCCCCTACCCCTCGTTGCTTCATTTCGAGGGCCAAGGGGTAGTGGGCAAGGGGTAGGGGTAGCGCCAATGGCTAAGGGGTAATAGACAAGGGAGGGTATTAGGATTGGGCCTAAATCTTGCCAACACCGCGAGGACGCCAGAGACGCCAGGAAGTAACTACATCCAGCCAGAAAATAGTCCATAAAAACCCATGGATGTATTGAGGCCTTTTCCACATACACGGATATTTGAACTTGTTTCTATGAGTTTTGACCTTTTGTCTACACAAAATAGTGTTTTAGGTCTAAAAACTGACTTTGTGTAAAACTGCTTCCAGGATGAGGATTTCAAAAACATTTCAGTGTTGACATGTAGACAGGCAAAACTGAGTTTAGGGCTCGTAACATTAGAGTGTGTGCCGTTTTCTCCTTTACACACATGCTCACACATGAGCATTTTGTGCAGTGGCAGACATGACAGAAATAGTGCTGGTTCACATCTTGCTAACAGGGCTTTTAACACGCTAACACATAAATGCACAGTTGGTCTTCCACTATACAGAGGAGCAGAGGTGTCAGAAAGTGCTATAGGGGTCACGGCTCCAGAGAGCCTTCCAGTAATAGCTTTTATTCAGGCTTCTGTTTGGCCAATATCTTTCTTCTACCTCTCTACATGGCTTCCGGGGTTAGGGTTATATTTGTTTGTTTGGCATTTTATTGATGGCGCCTCAATTGCCTTTTGTGTTTGCATTTGGATGAAGATTTTATTTTAACAGAGCTTGTTTGAACAGGATTTTTTTTAAGAATAAAGGAGGGAGAGAGAGAGAGAGAAAAAAAATCAATTTCCGAGATACCCATGAACATGTGGCCTGGGCCTATGAGAGTTGGATACATTATTGGAGGTGTGCCCCAATGATTCCTATGAAAGTTGCCGAGTGATGCATGATGCCAAGGTAGGTGCGGAGGTATAAAAGTACTCTGGTCCTCTGCACTGTTGAGCCCATAGAGCAATCGCACTAAAGACTTTCGTGAGCTTCCACTTTAGCGCTCAGCTGAATGGGGATAAAATGATTTTATCGTGCAGCTCCTCTAGACTTTCAAAATGTTATCAAACTGAATGAATCAAATTCTGATGGTGAAACGAATCTTATCGAGGGTGTTGTGACAGTCAAATAAATGGAGCCACTAATTTACAGGCATGTCTTTTACAATGTAACTCTATGGGAAATAGTCACTTTGGGCCCAGTGGCATCACATGACGGACCAGGAAGTCGTAATTTCATTGTTTGGCCACTACAAGAATGAGCTTCAAAGCCTGGAGCACTTCCTGGGGGCGTAGCATCTAGTTGAGTCAACATTTCTCACACTATATTGTCAGGTGTCCCTGTTATTTTGTCTACCCCCTCTGTCTCTCAGGTTGATTTTACATCACACATCACAAATTCTGATCCCCCTGACTGTTAACATATCCGACCCTCAGTGCCTCCTGCTGCGCCTTGATCAGACCCAGGCGTGGACACTGCTCGCCCAGTCCGACAGCTGCCCTCTGTACCAGGCGCGTGTGATCGGCTGAATGAGGAGCAGGAGTCGAAACCTTCGGAGCAGCCCGCAGAAGACGGCGGCTGCCACAACCACGAGTGGGGACATCATCACGAAGCCCAGGATGATGAGGGCGGAGCAGCTGTTGTCGTCAAGGTAACGGCAGATGGCAGAGGGGGCGTCAAGGACCTACGAGGACAAAGGCAGAGGGAGACCATAAAAGTAGACAGGAGGGCTCCGGAGGACATGATGAACATTTTGGCATCAGGAGGAGCTGCTCCTCCACTGTCACAGAGGAAATAGGTGGGATTTGTTATCCGTGTGTGTGTGTGTGTGTGTGTGTGTGTGTGTGTGTGTTAGCATATGCTCAAGGTGCAGAAGTGGGACAGTGTGTGTAGTGGACTGTGACAGAGTTTCTCCCAGCCTCCCTCTACAGTTCCGATAAGCAGCGGCTCAGTAGCTGTCAATAACCCTCTGAGCTGTCAATCACCTTGTGAGGGCAGGAGGCGAGAGGGAGGAGTTAGACCAGAGAGAAGAGCGATGGAAACTATAGAAAGATGTAACACTGGCAGCTGCAAAGAGTGCACAATGACATCCTCACAAAAGCATACACCAAAGTTACACATAGACACATGAATTACACTCACATATATTCTCTGTCAAACATACTCAGAACGATTTGGTTACATCCGAGGCTTTTTCTAAACGATTTCCTATTGTAAGCATTTTCAAAACGAGCTTCACCCCCGACAAATGCACCCTAGCAACAGCAGTGTTAAACACTTACGAGCACACGCACACACGCAGACACAGAGACACACCTCAGTCAAGTGCACACTGTGCTTTCAGCGAGTACATTTTCGTCCTCAGCGTGCTGTCAGTGTGTCTGTGCACAGCTGGCGCTGGCACCAAATCAGACAGCCTTGTCTGCTCAGTGGGGCTCTCTCCCCGTGCTCAGTCTGTCACCACAATGGGGAGAGCTCTCTGACTGACATTGTCTGTAATTGTTTGCTCTGAACTGACATTTGCTCTGGCCTAATCACGATTATTGTCTTGTTGCAGGAGCACATTTTGCATGTTCTTAATTTGCCTGCTCCGTCGTACGGCTGCAGCTTCAGAAACTGAAAAAAAACAGCTGTATCGAGGGTGAGGATGTGATGTTATGACTTGTCCGGTGAGCCGAGCCAAGCAGACTTTTACAGCATGATGCCTAGACTCATCATATTTTACTGATGATCTGTCTGCCCCTCATGTGACTCACCAAAAAATGAGTCGCACCCATAAAACACTGTCTGACATGCCCAAACATTCAAGTTAATCATTATCTTTTTGGACAAGCTTCTTGTTGATGATAAAGAACCAATGAGTATAAATGTGAAAAAAATAATCTTGAATACCTCTGAAGAGAAGGCGTCAAGTAAAGAGGTATAACCTTTGCTGCCAAAAAGACTTTCCCTTAAGGCTGTGATTGTTTCCCTCTACGACTCCAAGTGTCTTAATGAGGAATAACCCTCCCACTCTCTGTACGGCGTGGGCTTACTTGCCTAAACTTCAAAGTCAAAAGAGGCTGAGTGCAGATTCCTTATTATGAATGATTTGTAAACTTACTCTCAGGTTGGCACAGAGTGCTATCATGTATGAGCAGCACTAAATATTTTTAAGCCACTTGGGGGCAGCAGAAACGAGCTGTAAACACAGCACTGGCATAGCGTCACATTTTAAAGGGAGACACCACCCAAATTAAGGTTTCCAATATTTTATTTCCATGGCTGAGGAAAGTTCAATCGACATTTGTGAACATGTGCTACTCTCTCTCAAAACTAGAAACCAGGGAGTCTCAAACTTGCGATATCATCAAGCCCTGATACACCAAGCCAAGGGTAGGCCATTGGTCAATATTTGGTCATCAAAGAGCATCTGTTGCTCTAGTTTTTGCGGTGTGTCATGCACCGTTAGCACTAGTCGGCCCTTGTCTGCTTTTTTTCGGCAGATTCATCATGTTGAATCTGTGTCGCAGAAGCTTGAACCTGTCGGTGTATGAAATCACTCTGATTGTCAGTTCAGCTCAGCCCACAGGAAGTGAAACGGAAGTGAGGAAAGCAAACAAATGACTAATCACAAGAGGGCTGTGCTGTTGTTTGCTGGCGCACAGTAAATATGGTTTGTTCTTTCAACTTCAGGTTGGGTTGTTAATGTCCTAACTGGCTAACTAGCATCTTGAATCCATCCTGTGGTTCTTCTGCCTCCCTTTTTGGATGACGAATACAGACTGCCGCCACCTGCTGGCATAGAGAGTTATTTCATCTCACATGGGTGCAAAAGGTAAGTGCTTGTTGGTCGTTGGCTGCAGTCTTTGCGGAGTGTTCAAGTGCAACTTTTTGGCTGAAACACAGGCAACGTGAGGCCATGCAACAGTTGGCCTTTATCGTCAACAGTTCATGGATGTCTGTTTGGTGTGTCTGGGCCTTAAAGTCTGGAGCTGCTCCACAGACAAGGAATGGGAGTCATATTTTTCACTTGGACTGCACTTGTATAGTGGTTTTCCAGTCTTCCCACCACTTAAAGTGCTTTTACGCTACATGTCACAATCACCCATTCATACACACACTCACCCACTGGTGCCACCTGCTACTCAGAAACCAAACACACACTCAGGCACCGATGGGACACCCATCAGGAGTGATTTGGGGTTCAGTTTCTTGCCCAAGGATACAACACGCTCACAGCTGCCCCATACTGTCGATTCACAGAATGTTTGTTTTCTTTTTTACAGCCAAATGAGCTTTATTCTGTTGTAGTGTTCTCAGCTGTGAAACAGACAGTGCACCCATAGTCAGAGCATTCCCCTGGGTGCTGTGTGTGTCATCTAGAACATCTTCCACAAATCATTGTCTATGGAGCAGCTCCAGACTTTACACCCTGTCACATCACAAATTTGAGTTTAAGCTCTCTAGGTTTTGGATTTGAGAGAGAGCTGTTCATGTTAACTAACATTTTTGGACTGACTTAGACCACAGAAATAATGTCTGAATTTTAGCATATTGGCATAGTTCGACTTTAAGTTGACATGTCGTACTTGTTGGTAAACTTCGTCCAGCATTTAAAGAGCAACATTCATTTGCACCAGTGTTTGTGTCCATATGATGAATGTCCCATATTCACTCAGCTCCTGAGAAAAACAGCTGCGTCTTCAGCTGATAAATGCCCCACTACGTTCACCAGCCCACTAACCGTGTCTGTCACACGGTGCTTTTTCTTATTCTGAAAACAGCTGTTTGCTGTGGCTGGAAACACCAGGCTGATGATAATTATCTGTGGGTCTGTCACTATGAGTGACATCTTTCACACTGCATAGTCATTTGATCTATTGTTATTATAAAAACACAGACTATAGCAGCTTTAATAATCCGCGACAGCTGCATAAAAGTTCCCGCTTTCCAGGAACTGGGAGGAAACATTTCATGCAACAGCGGGGATGGAAACTGAGGGGAACTTACAGACAATGATAATCAGTTCAAGGTTTGTTAGCTGACAGCAAAGAGTGACAGGAATCATGAGGGTGTCGTGCACCAAAGGTTCCCTCTATGATTCAGATTGGAGCGTAAGCAATTTCAAGCAATGAGCTTTACGACTTGTCACCAGGACGCCCCAGTTACAAGTGTTTCTTTTGTGCATTTTTGCCTTTATTTTGACAAAAGAAAGTTGAGGTCGATAGATAGAAAATCAACATGTTTTCACTCCAACCTCATCACATATTCATGTTTGATCATGAACCTTCAATGTCCAGATACAACGTGAAAGGTATCCTGGGTGCGTCGGTTGTTGGTGTTCTGGGACGACAAAGTTCTGCCTGTTACATACATTGTCTTCTTTCAAAATACACTTCCGTTTTCACAGGAAATTTGACGTTTACATACAGTCTCTTTCAAAATAAATGCACTACGTTAGTACAACAATGCGAATTGACATTTGTTTCCTCCAACAACCAACATACGTGGTTGGGTTTAGGAAAAAAGAACAGGGTTTGGCTTTATTATCCTATGGGATGCACCGCTCTCCCAGTTGAAAGACTGTGTTTCTTGGTGTTTCTTAAACTATGACTGCAACTGGCCGCATACCATGCCGATATCAAAGGACTGCTTTTTTCATCAGTGTCTGACGCCACAAGTCACTGCCCAAGCGCTGGATTTCGACGACTTCAGAGTGAGACCGGGTTGATGGAAAACTCGAGGAAAGAGAAAGAGGTGAAATACAACAAAGGTCAAACCTGAAATCAAACCAGCAACGTCGCAATCACATGTTACATGTCTTAGACCAATACCTGGACATTTAAGAAGCTCTTAAAGCCATGTCCAGCATGATGATTAGTCACTTATATGGTTGCTATGGGGAACTGGATCTAAACATGAAGATTATTGTTCAGTAAACATTAGAGGTGGTGGAAAGAATTGATGCAGGATATATCCTGCGAGACAAAACAGCACAGGGAAAATAGGTATTATATTTTAGATTATTAACATTTTTAAATATGCATCTTGTTACAAATACCTGCAGTAGTACAGTCATTCACATACTGTATTCTGTATGTTTGCGTCCTATGAATCAGAACATCTCATAGAGATTAATACAGAAACAGTTGTGTCAGCATGTCCAGTTTGCATACAGAATGTGTTGTGGTTTTACATTCAGTCTACTTGGCAATCGCATTTGCTGCAAAGTAAATGAGTGGATTTTTATGAGACCAAAGAGACAAAAATGACTAATCTTCTGGAACATAATTTGTGCCGAAAATGTAATAAACTGCAAAATATTACATTGCACAACACAAATAACCCAAATCTTTATCCTATTATTTTGGATTGTGAAAATAATGAGCTCTGGGGCCAAGAGGGATTCCTGCCACTAGTAGAGAGTATCCTGTATCTGATGTTAAGTCAGGATCTTATGCCAGTGAATCAGTGTCCAAATCAGCCCAGTATCTTCTGACTAATCATTCAAAGGCAGGATTATCTCAGATGCAACTTTACAACCTAAATTTTTTAGCTCAAGTCCCACCAGTGGGTCAGCAATAACAATAAACTCCTCCTCTCAGCTTAATTGCCACAAACCGAATAAACAACAGAGTTTTATCTCACCCTGGAGTGGCAGAGGAAACCGGCGTACAGCAGCAGCACTGCAGGCAGCAGCACCACGGAGAAGACCACAGCCAGGAGCAGAGCACTGGCTAAGATGACACACAGGTCCCAGAGGATGAGAGCTGCCCCACAGGCCACGCAGCCACACCTGTCCCTGCGGCTGCCCCACGCGCTGCCCCCGCTGTGGGCCACAGGAGGGGGCAGCATCTTCACCCCCTCCCCGACCCAGAACTCCTCCTCTTTCTCCTCCTCGCCTGACCCGCCATCGTCCAAGTCCACGTCCATACCACACATCCTGAGGCGGAGAGAGAGACAAAGAGAGAGGGTGAATTGTTGTGATTCAGACTGCAGGATGGTTACAGGCAACAACTGACCCATCCCTGGACTTGTTAATGTTTAATGAAGTAAAAGAGATGATGCTTGCAAAACATTACTGCACCTTTTTGATAAAATCTGTATTAAAGTCATAGAAAAAGAAGTTCTTTAACATATTTACATTAAATCATTCAGTTTTTTAGCTTTTTATCACATTCATGTTGAATCACACTCGGTCTGTATCTCTTCCAGGCTGCATCCATATATTTTTTTCACATGCTGAATTATAAAAACATTAAAAAAGATAGTGAGGCACAGACTGAGCCCCATCCCCTTTCGCCCGCTCCTTTTTTCCATCCAGGCAGCCAATAACTCATTAGATTATTTAAATAAGGAACCTATAGCGTGCTTTGACTTTACATAGGCCACACACACACACACACACACACACACACACACACACACACTTTTGTCTCCCTTCCCATCGCTCCTCTGGTCGATCTCATCCATCAGAGCTTTGTCACTACAGCCAGGACTGTGTGCCAATACATTTTAAAGTGAATCAGTGAATCAGTGAACGACCTACTGATGAGCTGCAGACACACACCAGGAGCCAGGAGCATCACACCGGACAGGACACATGCTTCAGCACACCTCAATCATGACCTGAATACATATTTCGCTTTGCTTTTTTGTTTCTCCTTCACCCTGATCAATAAATTAATATAAATTAGCTGTTTATATTTTACTTTACACTTCAGGTGGCTTACTCTGCTTTTTCTGTCTGGAAAATGTTAAACCCTGATGACACAAGCATATGATAAAGTAGCCCTGTCTATCTTATAATAAAAACAGGTTATGAATGGGAATTTTATTGCCTACCTCCAAGTACAAATCCCGGTAATCCCTCCGGTGTGTTTGAGCTCCTCTCCCGGTGATCCACCCGGACCTCTTAATTTTACAACAAAATAAAACCAACACTTGTGTGTGTGTATGTGTGTGTGTTTGAGCAGCAGCGGAGAGGAGCACCTGTGAGTTGAACCCTGCGCTGTTGCTGTGTGAGGAGCCTCAGTGCGTCTGTGGGAGCGAGCGACTCCGGGGCCGCGCGCACTATCGTTAAGTGCGCGCTCACGCGGTCTCACAACAATTACATCTCCAGCCTAAAGAAAACATATAGTTTTGACTGATATCGCAGTGTTGTTGATTTAAATATGTAAACACAACACACGTGAACGCATCTGTGCAGCTGCAACACGAACATACAGATTAATGTGAAGCAAAATGAAGCATCACAAAGGGGTGGGCTGAGTGTCACACTTCTACGTCACTGCTGTACATTTTCTGGCAACACATAACCCTTTATCATGGGTTTATACATCAGCTGCACATATACTGTGGAGAACAACTTTTGGGTTGCCAGGTTGTGCAGGTTCCTTTACACATGTTAAGAATGACCTATGTTAAAATCAGTATATCAGTTCAGTGAAAAGTTGTTCAGAATTCACGAGTAGAGACTTGATGGGTTGTTTTAACCCCCTGAAATTAATTAGGCCCACTAAGACTTGTGCATTTAATGTAAACCGGATGGCTTGTTTAAAAATAGGCTATTTATTAATGATTTAAGAACATTTATAAATGCATTGTTATCTAACAGAAAGATTATTTTTGGTTGAACAACATTTTTATTACCATAACTGAAACTTGACACCATCTTGTTAATGAAAGAATGTGTATAAAGTCTCCCCTTTGATAATAAGTAAAATAAAGGGGAGATTCTCCATCCAGTTGCATTTTTTTTCTCCCAGTAAAGTATAAGCATATGGTACACGGTAAGATAATTGTTAACTTTTTATTCACCATAGAACCAGTATATTGCTGCAACCCTAGTTACAGTTTACCAGAGGTGTGGACTTGAGTCACATGACTTGGACTTGAGTCAGACTCACCTCACAAATTTGATGACTTTAGACTCGACGTGACTAAATCAAAAAAGTCAACACTTAATTCCCCAGATACACTTTGTCTGAACCAAACTGACAGCATCCAATCAAGCTGCAGGGAAGAACCATGAAGAACAAACACGATGTGACTGAGCAGTAGCTAGAAAGAATTATACCAAAGATAATTTTGTTTGCAGTGGTCAACAAAACACAAATTGCAGTGCACAAAACATGCCACTTGAAAATCACAGAAGACTTCCAGCAAATTTGAAAAGCATTCACAACTTTAGTAAATTTAATACAGTATTGTTTGTTTGTTGACATGGAGATAAATTTGATGAAGAGCACATTATGAGTTGTTGACGACTTGAAACTCAAAGTTAAGGACTTGACTTGGGACTTAAAGGCAAAGACTTAAGACCTGCCTGTGACCTACAAAACAATCTTTCATTCCCTTTATAGAGTATTCCATATCACTGCTGTGTCTTCACTCTTTATTTGGTAAGTCCTTAAATATGCAGTAAATGGTTGTAAAAAATCATAAAACACAAACCTGGAGAGCTTAAAAGCAACTTAACAGTTGTTTTTGCTGACCTCCAGTGGTGTAACTTCTGATCTTGCTACATGGATGTAGAAGTGTACTCCAGGGTACACTACACTGTGACATCATAGTTGAGCCTGGTTTGTAGTATGGCACGTTTGTGTGTTTAAAAAAAAACTAAAATAGGCTGTACTAAATTATTATAAAGGCTGGTTGTAGCCTGTTCATGTTGTTAGCTGTTCAATTGAGTGACCTCTGCTGACCTTTACATAAGTAGATTTCAGTTTAGTCAGATAATCAGATAACATCTTAGGAAAATTAGATTACAAGGTACACTTACATTTACAGAGGTCACACATACTGTCAAGAGTGACTCTCACACACATCAAAAGGAGAAAAATACAGTAAAATCTAATTAAGCTGGAGACCATCTTGCAGTGGGATCACTCCAGCCACAATACAGAGATTCTTGTCTTAAACAAATAGGGGCCAGGGGCGTAAAGTGTGGGGGCATATGGGCTGTTCTCTGCTTCCTCCCTCCCTCCTTATATCGCTCTTGCCTGGATCACACCTGTCTAGAACTTCTTGCACAGTTGCGATACTATCACACTGGCAAAATCTGTCCATAGACAGACACATGAACACCTGGCAAATACTCAAAACAGCTTCTGCGGGTGTACTCCTTGCAACTGGTGTCACCTGGAGCACACTTTGCCATGATGACATACAGGCACGAGGTGAAAACGGCACCAGTCGTCACTCAAAACTGTGTCAGAAAATATGTATTCTAAGGAAAGATATGAGGAGTGAGTTGTGGAAGATGGTGAGCATCAAGCACACGTGAACTGACCTCAGTATGAAAGTAAATCAAAGTTTGATAAAGAAGTTAATATGTGACAATAAGCTGTGACATGTTCAGAAATGTCTCTCTGAGTTTCTCCCTCTGCAGTCTGCCTTTCACCGATCTCGGAGCATTGTCAGCTGTGTGGCCCCGAGATAAGCGGATGATCGATTTGTTTTGCAGCACAGACAGACAGTCAACCTTTTGCTGCTCAAATTTAATTACTCAGAACAAGGGAGAAAAGATAAGAGGATACGGGAAAGAGCTGACAAGAAATGGAAGAAAAGATACAGTCTGGACGTGGAGATAGAGATGAGCATATGATTGATGAAGACGAGGAGAGCTGCTGTCGAGAGTCTGCGGGGAAGACGCTGCTGCTCGGTGTGTTTGTTGTCTGCTTCTGAGGAGTTGAAAGGTAAGTCAGGAGGATTACAGTAAACATAACCTTTCAGACTCTACCTGTGACATCTGCTGACACCTGCTGGACTCGCTGTGAACTTTGCAAACTAAGTGAAGCACTGACTTTTTTTGTTTGGCAGTAACTTCAAACAATGTTCCTCAGTAATGTCCTCCAGCCTTCTTTGATGACTAAACTCAGACTCAGACCATGAACTGAACATCCTCCATTTGTGTCCTTTCAGGTGTCATTCTGTCGCTCTCTGTCTGGAGCCACGCATGAGGTCACTCCCCATCCATTTACTGAACAGCATCCTACGGGTTGCCATGGTAATTCATCTTAGTCCATTATCTATCTATCTATCTATCTATCTATCTATCTGATGATATCATATTATTAGATAGAGATAATGAGGTTGTAATTTCAGCAGCTGTATTTGCAGCACAATGACAGCAATTTCATTACCTCCGCTGTAATTGGTTACAACAGAGTAATTATGTGATTATATTAACGTCATTAATGTCCATATTATTTATTATGTATTGTCACTATAATGAGTGACATCATGTACAACTACTGTGTGTAATTTAGCACAATGATATGAGGGAAATAAAAATTTCTTTTGTGGAAAATGCTCCTTTAAACCCAAGAAAATATTCATTTATTATTCACTTCTTATTTTATTTTTTGTTAAATTGTATGCATGTTGTTGATAGATTGATCAGAGTGGAGGACTCCCAATTGGTGGGTCACAGCCCAAAAGTGGGTCCTGGGTCTATTCTGAATGGACTGCAAATGACTTGCAATCATGTCAAGTTTGTAAAAAAAATTACACTTATTTTAAGTACAGTGAATTTCCAGCACATAGCTTTTATATATGTTATTGTTATTATTTTATATTAGCGATGAGCTGAAGTTGACTAATTGAAAATGTATCTATTGAGCAGTGTCTCTATTTTTCTTAAAGTTTGTACCAAATTAGACACATTTTTCCAGAAGACTGTATGGATATTTTTAGGAGGAATGAATCAGACATTACAGACCTGTAAAGTAAAGTGTTACCAAGGTAACTGTTTCATTGTGGGTGCTTTATTATTGTGTTTACTTTATGGCAAAACTTTTAAAAAATCATGTTTTTATATGTCCTTGTTGTAAAAGCTATATCTAAGCCACACTGTAGCGTACTTTTTTCATTCTGACTCAACATACATAAGGATACGTTCACAATTTTCAAGCCTATCCTAAAACATTGCTCACATGCCAATACGTACATTAAAAGACAAATTTGTTGCTGTGACGATTTCTCTCCTTACTGACTGTAGATAGATCCCTTCCTCACATGATAAACAGAAAACTAGCAGTCTGAGTTTGCCAGATTAAGTGGATATCTTCCAAAGTCTTGAGTAAGAAACTCCCTCTTTGTGTTCCCATGTCTCTGCTGCAGCTCAGCAAGTAAACAGTGTCTATGCAAACACAAAGACTGTGACTTGATACTGGCTTTAGCTGACTTTAAAAGGTATTTCTGCACAGCACAAAGACTGCGGATTTCCCCCCCTCTCTTACATTACAGTCGCAGTAAGAAGGGATCATTTCAGTGTGAACAGAAGGAATAATTACAGCAACCAATAACACCTTCATCGTACACATGGGTATGTGAGCATTGTTTTGAGACAGACTTGAAAAAATGTCATCCTTTAAAGGAGACAAATCAAGAATGACATGGATAAACAAGTGATGTGTAAAACTTTCTCTGTGGCTTTTCCATCACAGCATCTTATTAAACTTCCTGGCACTGTGAGATCAGATTCAGGCCAGTGAAGCAGCAAACAGCAGGCTCTGGTCCCATCATGCACCTCTTCTGTGCTCCACTAAGCGGCACCAGCATCTATTAAATGTTTGTCCATGACTGGGGTTTGTTGATCAAAGAAAACAACATCATGTGCCGTGGCCCAAACTCACACAGCAGCCACACGATCATAAAGAACACAACTTTAGTGTTAGAGGCAGAGAGAGGAAGCTGTGGGTGTTTCTTTGGTCCAACACAGAAACACTCTGACAAAAAACAGGAGTGCTAACTGACACTCTTATGAATAAAACAAAAGACAAAAGAGCAGTTATCACAACAATAGAATTTATTGCATGAAAGCAGATTAAAAGCAACGAGACTACAGCTTATTAAGTGACTATAGTCATGTCTGGATGGACACGTGCATGTTTAATCAGCAAACAAAGAGTGCATAAGCTGGTGTGTTTGTATGAGTTATATACAATAGAGTGAAATCTGATGAGCGTGAATTTGTGACAGTGTGTGTGTGCAATGAAGTGAAGCCATATTCTCAAAGTGCCTTTCCAATACTACAGATTATGCAGTGTGAAGGAGAGTGGAGAGGGCGGAGCAGATGAGCAAAGTGACACCTACCCTCCATCAGATGTGTGTGGTAGTGTGTGATGGTCTGTGTGCGGGTGAGCATGCTTATTGGAGTGTGTGTCTGAGGGGGGCAGAGGGTGAGACTGAGGGCTGCTGAGCGTGTCAGATAAAGACGGAGCGTCCAAGACGTTGTCTGCTGGATACAGCTGCATCACTGCCCCCTCCTGGCCACCCTCCTTACTGCAGGACTGGCAGCTACAGTGGAAGATCCTCTCCACCAGCTTATCCACACGAGGAGACTCTTCACTGCCCGGGCACTCCAGAGTCACCTGTTTACATACACATACAATTAAATACATACAAATACATATGTACATACAAAGAGACAGATAGTTGAGTGGTTTGGTTTCATATCTGGACGTACAAAGTAAATGGCTATCAGATTTCTGCTGCTGCGCTTAACTTTACAACTTAAATCTTCCACTTTGTTATATATTGAGTAGTAGCAGCGTTTCAATTGTTTGGCTTTCAAGCATTTTTTTAAATTAGTTTTCATATATATATTTAATATTGTTTTTGTGTCATTGACTATTGTTGCTAGTCATTGTCATCATTGTATTATATTTGCATGAACTGGCTTCATGATAACCTGAAGTTGAAGTTAGGGCTAACAATGCTAACAATAAGCAGCATCTACAATTAACCCTACTCTACTCTAACCCTTTGAACCCTGAGCAAATTGCCTTGACTTCTTTCAAAAACACAGGAAGAGAGCAGTGAGCAACAAAAGAAGAAATTACCTAAAAAATAAGGCAAGAAATTAGCAAAAAGAAAAAATTTAAAACAAGAAAATTATTAAAAAAGAAAGAAAGTTAAAAACAAACACGGAAATGACCTGGAAAGAGTGCTTGAAAATTATAATAATTATGTGACATAATTTTAAAATGTAATGATAATAATAGTTATAAATATCATTTACCTCTTTCTTTTACCCCTACATTTTTTTTGCAAATAATTTTCTAAATCTATGATTTTTTTTTTTGCAATTTGCGGGACATTTCTTACCAAGTTGATCATTGCCTTTTTTCCTATGTTTCTGAAAGAAATCACACCAATTTGCTCAGGGTTCAAAGGTTTGAATACTTGCGAAAGGTGTCTGAAAGCAGCACAAGAGAAGTGATGTCACTTCAAGGTTTTAAATGGTTAAGACCTTTAAACCACTTAAAATTGAAGTTAAGACCAAACTTGTCTTGGAAATACACACCAAAAATGAAAATATGCTCTTTGTAAATAAACTTATGTCAGTTCCAAACGAACAATGAGGTAAAATGACAGTGATGATACTCTATGCTTTCCGTAAAAAAAAAAAACACACTAATGAGCAAGCTGGCTAGCAAGGTCTTAGTTTAACAATGCAGTCTCACTGCATGATTGAAATGCACAGAGGGGGCTAAAATAGGGGCAAATCATGCACACAGGTGTTATACCAAAGTCTTTTCTGCATTCGAATATTGTTTCCCCCCTCTTAAAATGATGTTTCCCGTCGCAGCAACACTGTAAATTCTTGTGGTGACGTTACTAAAAAACACTTAAGACCCATGCAATTTATTAGTGAATGTATTTACAGTAAGACAGGACTATTTAGGACTTTTTAAGGCCACTATGACAACACTTTCTTTCCTGCCCTACAAAACAAAGTAAATAAAACCATTTAAAAACACTAAAAGGTGAAAGAACTATATTAACTACTTCAGAAATTAAATTTAAAAAATTCTGAACAAAAAAAAACTTTTTTATTTATTTGTATTTGGTGATTTATAACTTATTTTACGTATTGTATTCATTGAAATATTTGATTTTGTTTTATTTTTAACTACCTTCCTTTCTGAAGAAATCTGATTTTTACAAAATGGACATACTGCCACTGTATATGTGGATGGATGGATGGATGGATGGATGGATAGATGGATAGATGGATGGATGGATGTGTGTGTGTTTGGTAAAACTCTGACTCCTTAGTGTTGTGTTTTTTGCTTTGTTAAAGACTGTTATATCTTCACAATAATACAATTATTGCGCCATTCTTGTATTGTCAGAGGAATAAATATAAAATAAACAGAGAAGATACAAGCCCCCTGTAAGCCTCAGTGTTGCACAAGCTGTTCCTGCTCTCCAGACCTCACACAACTTCCCCTCACTGTTTCCATTATCCATTGAAAATGATCATTCAGCAGTTTTATCAAGATCTACCACCAAGTGCCAAACCAGCATGGAGCGGTGTCCTCTTTCATGAGAGCTGACTTTGTTTTGTATAAAGCTGAACTGCAACAACAATCACAACCACAGACATAAACATTCATTTCCACATAATTAGAAGTAAGGTGAGACTGCAAATGCACTTTCCCTGGCCCTCCTCAAGCAACAAAAATAGTTCAAAAATTAATTAATCTATCAGGTAACAGCAATCCACTCCAACAGATACAATATTTTCCACTGAAACATGAGGCGACCTCACCTGTGGTCGCACCCGCCTAGCCTACCTGGCAGCTGTCCAAACCACATACACCTCACTACAAAGCCTTTGTTGTCGCAAGACTGGATTCCTTCTGGCGAACAGGGACAATGAACTTCAGCGGAATATAAAATACAGTCTCAGGGTTCACAGGGAACCGCAAAAATTGTGAGACAAATCTTTTCAAAATCCTCAATTTATGTTTTTTCTCCTGCTCCATGTTTGCCAGTGGGCAGCGTTGCTTTCATGTCGGAAACTTGTGGTTTTGTGTGTGAGTCTGACAAGTCGGTGTTGGTGTGTGCCTGCTACATGAGCTAATGTGCAATAAATCTTACCACTTCCCACTGTGTCTGGGCAGGCATGCAGGAGTCACAGTGCACCAGAGACTCGGTCGACTGTGGGAATGTGTTGGGGACGCTGTAGCTGAAACACTGGCCCAGACAAGCTCTATGAGGAGGACACAGTGTGTTAATGTGTGATTCAACTGCACGACAAGAGTGTTCATACCTGCGTAAGCAAGAGCTGTTAGCGGATGTCTGGTAGCCTCAGGTCAGACACAAAGTCACAAAACGGAGACTTGTTAGTCACATATGTTAGGTAAATCACAAGTCAACTTCTCATCATAAATACAAATCATGACAAAGATTATGAGAATATGTCCTTCCCCAAATACTATTGTGTTGAACATAGGAAGTAATGTGCAAAACTTGTACATACTGTATGTCGCCGTGGGGACGACAACTAAGAGAAGAACACATATCAGTATTTCCTGAGTGGGCATTACTAAAATAACTAATGAACTGTTTTAAGTTCAATGACTTGAAGGCAGCATATGAATTGTTTCAAGGCCCACAGTGTTACATTTTTAAGTTTTGACCACAGATCAAGTAGACAAGTTAAAAACAAGTGTGAATTCGCAATAGCTGCAGCCACATATGTGCATCCATGTGTTCATGCATTCACACTAGGGGTGCAGCAGTGTACCATGAAACTGAACACCATGGTATGAAAATTGACGGTTATCACACCGTGTACATCCTGCTTATCTACTGTACTAAAAAAAAAAATCCAACCAAACTGTGAATCTCACCTGCATGTCTGCATTTCCTTTCCTCCTAAACTGCCTGTCAGATTTTTTAACTCTTACTTCAATTAAAAAAACTCTTCTGTCTTGATTCCTTTAAGGGTCACTGTCACTTGATAATAATAATATTAATAATATTTGTGTAACATTGTATATAATACTGTGATATTTTCTGAGACAACTCTAATTCAGTCACACACAACCTCACACACACTGGACTCCATGCCAAATTTCAGCCACCTAGGGCAAAAACTGTGGTGGCCAAAGTGTGGGGAAATTTTTATGGGCCGACTGACCAACCGACCAAGCTACAGAGCTGCTGGGTGCAGCTATAAAATCTGGTGCTTTTCTATTTTTGTCAACAAATTCCATGTAAAGAACAAAACAAACAAGTATTTTGTTTGTCGCCAAACCCTTCGATTGCTCAACTGTTTGTCCAGAACCATCAAGAGCACATGACATTACTGAGCCACATTGTTGCACTGATCCGTCATTAACATGTAAATATTCACCAGAGCAACAAAGCAGTGGCTGAAAATAGTCCCAAAATAGAAGCACTGTTTACTTCTGTTTAAGTATTGTTTGCGAAAACGTACAAGTGTCCAAGTGAAACATGTCCAGCTGTTTGAGTGTGTTTTGTTGTTTTTATTTAGTCTTCCTTTAAAATGAAAGTTTACATTCATGACCCCTTTCTAAAGATTTATGATGGGCTTTTGGCTGAATGCCACAAATAGGTTAGTAAAGTCAGAAAGTGTTGAGAGACAGACCAACTCGTTGTTGGTTTCAGTCTTTTCATGGAATGTGTTGACAATAACAAACATTAATATCGCCAGTTGGCCTTTAATAATAACGTCTGCTGTCTTCTCAAGAATTTTTTATAGCCATGCAGGCTGCCACTGATTTACATTCAATTCAGGTATGTATAGAATTCACCATGCAGAGCTGGAACTTGTTTGGAGTAGTGTAGTGTAAGCAATTTGTTATTTCTTCATACTTCAAGTGTAATGGATGGAGTAGCTTTCTCACACAAGTTTCAAGTCTCTGCAAGCTGTCTGCAAGAAGTATTTAACTTCCTATGACACAGAAAATAACAAAACTCTGAAATAGTGCTGTGTGTTTAAAATCATGGCTGGTAATAACTTAAAATATGTGTTTGTTGTAAACTGACTATAACCTGCAATGTCACTACAATGTGTCACTTTAAGTTGAAGTGCAGCACTTCCTCATTGTCAAACAGACTGAATGAGGCACGACTGTGAGGACGCAACTCATTGACATCTAGACATTTCTGCGTTATTCACTTTTTTCAGCTGCAGAGAGATCGTCACACAGAGAGAGACAGAGAGGGCCTTCATCCTGACCTGTTTTGAATAGAGCGAGGCTGACATCCCGTGTGCCCGACTATCTGTGTGATGTTCTTGGCTTCGCACCAGGCGCTCTTGTCAGGGAACAGCGCCAGGCGGTTGATGTGTGCAGGCGGTGCCGCTGAATACAGTGCAAACAGTGCCCAACAAATCAGAATCCTCTGCCACATGACTGCACCTAAAGGGGCGGAAAACCACAGCATGTTACCGCTCTGCTAACCTTGTTACACAGGAAAACACACTGAAAAGAGTAGTCACAAAATGTCTTTTTGTTTTCTGGCTTTACAGTGAATACGAAATGTGGACTTTGCATATCCCTGCAGATGTGGATTGACAACTTCGTGGTGATTAGCAGGTTGAAACCCAGGGGTCCATGTGCTTTGTATTTTTCCCGTGGTTGCCTCATTTGAATGAAGAGACAACTTCCCAATGATCTGAATAACCAGCTGCACAGTGAACATTTTACTGCGTTCATATTGCCCAAAAAGACACAATCCCATGGGGGAGGGAGGCAAATGTCTGCTCCATACCACCTGACTCAGTCTGTCCTCTGCTCTGTTTCACTCTCTTCTTTAAAAATACCTCAACCCCTCACGTCATTTACAACCTACAAAATCGTTTTCTCCTGCTGCTAATAAAAAAAGTGTCTGTGGTCACCCACGTTGACTACTTTAGGCAGTTTTCAGCACTTCCATATGTCTCTGACACAAGAAACACTGTCCACAGGAATCAGTACCCCTCCTTATCTATTGTGTATAGATATAAAAGACAAGGGGTGGCTGGGTGTGCTGATGTGAGGGGGAGGACTTGGATTATTAATGAAATGCTATATTTTTTTGACAGACTTCAAGAGCTCAGGCTGCTGTCTTTAAACGCAGCACAGGCAGACTGACAGACTTAAAGTGGTAATGCATTACAGTAACAGAAGTTATCTTACAAATACAGTAATAGAGATGTAGGTTATGACTAAATATTTTTTTAACGACATTTTTTTGTTTTATAATGCTATATCTTTTTTGAAAGACTTCATGAGTTCAGACTACTGTCTTTAAACGCAGCACACATACTAAGCGGAGTGGCGTTTAAGTGATAATACGTTACAGTAACGAAAAATGTAGCTAACGTCCCTCTTTCAAATACAGTAATAGAAACATGTGTTACAGCTAAAAAGTCGTTACATTTCCACGACCTTTTCTTGTTGTTTTATACTGGTATATTTTTTGACAGGCTTCAAGAGGCCAGGCTACTGTCTTTAAACGCAGCACAGGCAGACTGACAGACTTGAAAAGATAACGCGTTACAGTTAACGTTCCTCTTTCAAATACAGTATGTTATGACTAAATACTCTTAATTTTTCCACGACATTTTTTGTTTTATACTGCTATATCTTTTTTGACAGACTTCAGGAGTTCTAGCTGCTGCCTTTAAACGCAGCACGCAGACAGAGCGGAGTGGCGTTCAAGTGATAACACGTTAACGTTACAGTAACGGAAAAGTTAGCTAACATCTCTCTTCCAAATACAGTTACAAAGTTATAACTAAAAACTCGTTATTTTAACGTCATTTTTTATAAGTTTGCACGGTTAAATCTGAATTTGAACAGTGTGCTACCCACAATCCCCCGTGAGGGATCAGTACCCAGTAACGTTAAGCTAATGTAACGTATGTAGCGACCGTTACTTCAAGTTAACGGCTGGACAGGCAAGATGTCAAGGCATTGTTGGCTTACTTTTATTTATCATGCTTTGATTTAGTCATGTAGTTTAAGAAAAGTTATTATTTCAGTTTATTTTAGCTGGTAAGGTGCCGTGTCTTTCTCCGAGTTACCTCGGAAGGTAAGGAGAAGCTCCAACCGTCATTTTAAACAAGTGTCGCAGCTACCTAACGGTTAAAAGGCAACCTAGCTAGGAGAAAAGTACCGTAACGTGCGCTTAGCTACAGTAACGAGCGTACGTATAACTTGTCTTTTTAAAGTAGTTACGAGTAGACTAATTAAGTACTTTTTAAGTAACGAGACCCTGAGACACTTACCACCGCTCACCGACCCCGGGGAACAGCCAGTTGAGCACTGCGCAACGTCCCGCTGAGCTCAGCCCCCTCACCGAAACCTGGACCCGGGCTCCTAAAACCTGAGGATGCGGGCTGCAGTCGGATATCACCGTGCGCTGATAATTAAAGGAAAAAGTGAGCACTTCGTCAGCGGCGAGGATACATCCGAGCCCAGTCTGTCATAAAACAGTTACATCATCTGGAAAGAAAGAGAAGCGTCCGTCCGACGGGGAAGGATGGGGAGACGGGGTAAGTTATGAGCGCTATCTCATCCCTCAGTCCATCAGCTCAGACCGTCCCTCCCCTTTGTTCTCTTCCCGTGCAGTGTTAAATTCCCCCGTAACTCCACTGAAAAACACTTTCCAACTTGTTGTCTTTTGTTGTAAAACTCTGTAGCAGGGGTGAGGCGCGGCTGAGCCCTCAGACAGGGGTCCTGCTGTGCCGTTTCTGGACGAAAGAAAGCGGGGAAGAGGAGAAGGAGGAGGAGGAGGAAAGGGGGCTGTTAGGAAGGTTTCAAATGTTTCCCAAAGTAGGAGCGAGGCGAGACTGCAGATCAGATTTACAGGAGAAAAATGCAAATATAACAACATTACACAAACAGGACGCATTTACAGTCATGTGTTAAGTTTGCACATACATCTGGCGCTCCTTTGCTAACATGTGTTTTTAGATTTTGCAATTGAAACAGTGTGATCATGCAATACAACTGGGAAACAGATGTGGATCAATGCTCTGATCCATTCCTCTGATTACCTTTAGGAAGTTGAAATGATATCAACAGCAGGTTATTTAACCATAAGCTCATGACAACTTGATCTAATTAAGGCCACTCAATATGTTCGGAGTGAAACCACTGACACACTCATGAGCACGAGTTGCTGAAAGGCATTATGTTCCCTGGCTTTGCTGACCCATGAGTCTTTTAAAACCCTATTGAAATGGGAATATAGGACCTAACATTTGAGTTATGATGCCCCAGTCAGCTACTGGCAGTGGAGGACTCAGGCTGTGTGAGGAGCAGGGGCAAAACAATTGAACTAGCTACTTGAAAGAGTTAGACACATTTTCAGCACAAGCAAAAGGTTTTACTAAATTAAAAAGTAATGAATAATACATAATGTTTTAGTTTAACCACTGTGTTGATTCAAGTGCCTCAACTATTATTCAAAATGCAACACAGGGTGCATAATTATACTTATGTGAGTAGTCATGGAAAGCCAAAAGAGAGGGACTATGTGTAACTCTTAGGACCCGGCTATGGTTCTTGATACCTTTAAGGTATGCACCAGTGCACATTAAGTTTCTGAGCATGTAGGGCTGACAATATGGCATTGCATCATATTTCCTCAATTTTAAAGCCACCCTAGACAGCACTGCATCACGTTTTCTTTACTCGAATGAAACCCCTAGAGGGCCTTTCATCAGTAGTATTCAGTGGAGAGAGACGTATTCAGATTCCCAAGAGAAAATAGCCAACATGCACACCACAAGGGCTGGGTATCAGCACTCAATACCTTTAAGGTATCGACTGATATAACCCAGTATCACATGGTAGTGAAATGTCGCCAGTCAAACAATACCTACACTCGATCATTTTTGCACCAGGGGTCTGATCCCAGACCATCCCGACTCACTGCCGCATTAACAAACTTTATGTTGCTGCCATGTCTGGAGCCACTGTCCTCCCGGTGAACAGTCAGTTTAACATCTGCCCGGTTAGCATGAGCTAACACAGCAGCAGCTAACATCCAACACACTAACACCAAAATGGCTGGACACTTAAACCCCTTAATAACTGTTTGGTAACATTAACATTAAGAGTATTGAATAAGGTACTCTATTTATATCGGTATAACTTTAAAGGTACTGGCATTGTAATTTTTTTGACAATACCAGCCCTGCACACCAGTGTTAAATTATACTCCCTTAAAAGTTCTGTAAAAGTTGCAATTACTGTAAGCAAAAGTCCAAAAGCAGTCCAAAGCAAAGTAAGCATTATTAATTGCATTTACTTAAGTATTTATACAGAGTGAAGGTACTTGTACTTTTTCATTTTATGTTACTTTAAAACTCTACCACTACATTTCGTGGGTTTATAAGTACATAAAAAATGGCATAGCCTACTTTTTACTCCAGTACATTCATTTCATTCAGTTATATGAACTTCATAAAAGATTTTACATACAAATTATATGATCAGATTAAAAAATACAATGCAATGTTTTACTTAAAACTACCCAACAGTATATTATGTGGTCAAATTAGCTCCCCCAACTACAGCAGTAAAATTATACTTCCTCATGAAAACACAAGTAATAATAATCTAATGATATCATAGTATAACAATCACAGGGGCTATTTTTCTGCTTTGTGTAATTTTACTTTTGATACCCATAAGGACATTTAACCAATAATGCTTTCAAAGACATTCCCACTGCCAGACTTTTATTTGTCATCGAGTAGCTATTTTTAATGTGGTATTGCTGCTTTTACTTAAAAGATCTGAATACAGCAGCATCAGCTACAGCAGCTCCAGGCCAGAGTCGTGCAGCAGCACACATGGCATGTCTGGTCTTAGATTTCATGCCAGACATTAACCAACACTGACTGAACAGTTTTGAGCCATAAAATGAACAAATGTGATTAAGTAGCTTTATTAGACTGGTAATTATGATTCATCAAGGAGAATTTTTCAGACAGGCACAGACAGGTACCATGTGATGAGTTTGACTGCCTTGTTACACCTCAGCTCTGTCACTGATGGTCCCCCTCACCCTCCCGCACACCATTCCTGCACTTCATCTTACCTGCTTACAGGTGTTCAGCCTGGCTTGTGTCCATAAGCGCCCCTATCTTTCTCACGCTTCACTTGCAAACAAATATTTAAATGGACAGGAGATGAGTGACATGGCTTAATTCCTGGCGTTGTTTATTATGTGCTTACATTGCTGAGAAAACTGTTACGGTGATGGAGAGTGGAAAATCTGAGTGTGTGCATTAGAGCAGGCGTGCATGCGTCAATGTTGTCTTTGATGTGAAAGTGTAAACCATGTGTTATGTTCGGAGTGCAAAGTGCAGAACTCACCTGTTAGTAATAAGACCGAGCTTCAGTCCAGAAATGGCATTCCTCTGCATTCCACGGATTCTGCTTCACCAGGGGGCTGGATAAACGTGTGCGCCTGCACACGCTCACACAAACAATCCCTCTTCTCTCCTAGCAGGCCCATGCAACCACACATAAGTGATCAATCACACTCAAAACAATCTCGCCCAACAGACTCATGGCCAACGAATACACAAGACGTAAGAGATTCTTCCTGATATGTAGACGCATGCTTTTCCAACTCTCTGTGAAGAAAGCAGTCACGGTCACAACAAACGGTCTTACCCAACTCACGCAACTTAAAACAGGACTACAAATCATGGCATACTGTGCAAATGCTTTATCTAGCATGACTGGAGATCAGACTGGGTTACTTCCCTGTCTTCAGAAAGGAATCTAGAAACCCACATCTATAAATAAGAAAACTATAAGACAAAGTTCATCTCACACAAAGGTATGCAAACTTTTAAAGTCTCTTTCAACTCTAGCATTGGTCTTCCACCAACTGTACTTTTTTTTATTCCATCAATCTGTGCAACTTTTCATCCTCCCACTCTCTAACAGGGCTGCAGATGCTGAACCTGGCCCTCATTCCAAAACAGCAGGAGTTCGAGTCTCCCAGCTCATTAACACAAAAACTTACCTCCCACCCCCAAACCACATTTCATTCTCCTCAAACATGCACGCAGAAAAAAGAGAGAGAGAAACAGAGAGAGTTTTCCACAATCGCTTTATTAAATACACAATGACTGCCATGTGATAAACACAGTGAGGGCATCACTGGACATTAGTGCCAGGACAGAAATGAGCAGCAAAACAACAACACAGAAATGAAAGGGGAACTTCATGGGAAATCCTGATCATCTTTAGTCCTTCTTTACTGGTCCTGTAAATAAGCACACAGAAAAATCATAAAGCATGATGTGTTAGTGTGTCACAAACCTCTAACAATCAATACACTTTACCATCTGAGCTCACCTTAACCATTCTGCCATGAACCAGGTATGGTGACCTGAAGTCATGCTGGCAGTTGGCGTATCCCATGCCCAGTCCCAAACCTGAGCCAAACGAGACCGGCCATGTGCGACCTAGGGAGAAAAACAGTCACCCATGAATGATGTTTTTAAGTAGTGCTTACACCACTTCCCCCTTCCATTGACCAGTTCACCTTAGACAGAGCACTTACGTTTAAAGAGAAGGACGGAGAACACAACACCCACAGCAAGGCCGGTTACTGCAAAGAGGAAGAAAAAAAAGAAAGTGATTAAACTCCACTTCCAAAAAATATTTTATTTTAGTGCTTAAGTAATGTGATCATGTCTGATCCCGTATAAAACCAGCTGGCATAGATGTAAATCTGCTGTAATGAGGTCAGTGGGGTGCCGCTATTATGTTTGATGCAAGAGTTGGTAAATAGCACAAGTTAGCAAGACATTGCTCTCATTAGGAAAACAGAGGGAGAGAAAAAACAGCAAGAGCACAACCTTCCAAGAAAAAAAAAGAAAACAGTAAAAGGGGTGCAAGAGAGGGGGAAGTGAGTTAAAAGGAGCAACGACAGTGTCCATGAGGCAGAGGGCAGAGGAGGTAACAGGTCAGAGAGTGCACACGTGTAGGTAAGCAATGTACGGTCACAAAGGTTCGTCCGTGGCACAGAAGTTGGCGAAGTTGTTTGAAGTGCTCAGACCAGAGCGGGATCTTGAGGAGGAATGTGTTTGTGCGCTTAACTTCACCTCACTGCAGGCCACACCACACCCAACAGCAGGCCAGCCAGCACAGAAAACACATAAAAAAACAGTCATTTGGGCCCCTCCGACTCTTAATTGGATTCAGGGAGCTATGCAGCATGACCGATTTGCCTGAACCAGAACCCTCAGACTGTTCTCTATTACACAACTTACAAATGTCAAACAAGACCACATAAGACTCCGTGCACCCTCACTATCATTAGATCAACAATAAATCTTTGTCCTCTGCGTCCATTTCGAGCGAAGATTTAGTTAAACTTAAGGTTCTCCGTCTGTTGCAGCCTCTGCCTTTCTTTGCTCTTCAGCCAGAGCAGTTTTGAAGGCCCTGATTTTCCACTGACAGTAATACAGTAAAAGCACTGGCAAAATACGAGGGCTGATCAACATCTCATTTTGGCGTCCTTTCTCTTTGTGTGGACGTCTCCAAGTGGGATGGATTATAACAAAAACATTTGTGCTGCAGTAGAGTGAACTGTATAACCCACAGGCCAGAAAATACGCACTAGGTTTTCTCTGAAAATAAAGTCCAGAGCTGTTTAATGGTATTGTTATTGATTCAGTCGTTATTCCAAGTATTTGCTGGAAATGGCATCAAT